AAAAAAAAAAAAAAAAGGCTAATGAGACATATAGAAGACTGGGCTGCATATTAACTTAAAGGAAGAATTTAGTGGGTAGAAATTAAGAGAAAACATGTCGGAGTCCATCTCAAAATCAGTTATAAATTCAGTTCTGGGTTGCAAAGTGGAGAATCACATAGAAGAGATGATATGGATCAAACAATATACCAGGATTCAAATGTTTCTTTCACGTGTCCTTTTGGCTCCTGCACCATACAAACTCTGCATTTCCCCAACTGCTCTTTGCTGGGTATCTAAAAATCTCCCTTAAACCTTTTTGTTTGTTTTCTTAAAGTTTTATTGCTAAGAAGTCCAAGATCAAAGGGAAGGCAGGGTCAGTGTTTTGTGAGGGCACAGTCTAGTCCCTTCTTTCAGGAGGGCACCTTGAACGCTGCATGCTCCAGAAAGACAGTGTCAAATGGGGAGGGGCAAAAAGAGATCTACCATATTGCCCCCAGCCAGTTTATACGGCACTGATCCCATCCATGAGGATAAAGCTCTCAACCTAACTACCACAAGGTATAATCTTGTACTTCTTAATGTTGTTGAGCATTAAGTTTCAACAAGAACACAAACATTCAAAACACTAGAAACAGAGGGAGCCAAGTCTAGAAAATGTACTTCATACTATTTGCCAATGACATAAAATCCAGAAAGGCCACATTATTTTATGGTTTTACCATCTCTCTTTAAAGTCTTTTAAAGTGTGTGTGTGTGTGTGTGTGTGTGTGTGTGTGTGTGTGTGTGTGTGTCTCCATGTCTGTGCACATGCGCACATGTTGGTGGTGGTGCACATGAGCGTTTGTCTGAGTGCAGGCATGGTTGTTGGTAGAGAACAAGCATGGCTGTTGCCCCCTTGTTTGAGACAAGGTCTGTGCTGTCCACACCAGACTAGCTGGCCCTGAGCATCTGCGGATTATTCTAACTGCCTCCCATCTCCCTTTAGGAGCAAAGGGAGGGTAGACATACTCAATCCCATCCAGGTTTACATGCGTTCTGCCGCTTCCAGACCTCACACTTGGGCAGCAGGCAATCAAGCCACTGAGCCATCTCCCCAGCACAAGCCTGTCTACACCCCAGTAAGAACCAACAAAGGGCAAAATGTGAAAATAATTCACAGAAAAGTGGCAAACTCACATGTTTACTTAGACTTTTTAACAGAATGGAAGATGCAAATACATTCTTCTAGCCAAAAAAGGTTTAAAAGCAAAACAATGATGCTATTTAAAAGGTAAAGGGTACCTGATACCTTCCACATACAGTTAGTATAAATAACCTAACAATTACTAACATGTAGTGTTTGATGACAAGTTACTCATGGTGCACACCTGTAATTTCAGCATGTGGGAGGGAGACTGAGGGAGGATTGTGAGTTCAAGGCCAATCTGGATTTCACAGCCTTTCTCTCTCTCTCTCTCTCTCTCTCTCTCTCTCTCTCTCTCTCTCTCTCTCTCTCGTATGCATGTGTGATATTCCAGTAAAGTGATTTGATGAACTTCATGTTTGCCTCTTTCTGTCTCCCTCAACACTTCAGGCACTCATCTTTAAGACTCCCAATGTTCTCAGTGGCCAACAGTGCCCAGTGGCAAGTGTTCCCAACCCACAACACCCTCATGTCCTATCAATAGCAAGAAGTTCGTGAGGAAATATGCCCAATTCTTGTTAATTGCACTTAGATGCTGACCTTAGCAACTTTTCGTTTGATAGACACTAACTTGAAGCCATTTGGAATTTTTTAGTTGTAAGAGATCCTAAATGTTTAAGGGTAAATCTTAACCCAAAGAGCAATGCCAGAGACCAGGACCAAAATGTGAAGTGTCATATTCATCTCCCACATATGAAGGGTATTTACCCAACTTAGTCAATACCATCTACAAATACTCCTCTTGTGCTTCATTGTAATTTTTTGTTTCACTTTGAATAGCATGCCCCTTTCATTTTCAAAACAAAGAGCTACAATTTTTCCTCAATTTCTCGAAGGATGGGATGGCTAGTGGTAATTGTCAGTTTGACAGATCTAGTATCACCTAGGAGATGGACCTCGGGGGGTATGGCTGTGGGGATTATCTTGATATTAATTGATGTGGGAATAACTGTCCTAATTTTGGGTGGGACCATTCCCTGGACAGGGGATCCTGGGCTGTGTCCCTGGAAGAAGGGAGCTGAACAACAGTTGAATTCAACTCTTTGTTTCCCAGTTGTGGGTCTGATGTCATCCCCTGCTTCAAACCCCTGCCACTTGTTTTTCCTGCCATGATGGACTGTGCCTTGAACTGTGATCTAAGATAAAGCCTGTCTCCTTTAAGTTGTTCCATCAGAGTTTTTTTTAATCACAGAAAAGGGGAAACAAAATTAAGACAGGAAAATATTCTTCACTAGCTCTTCCTCACAACAGACTTCAGGTGGAGCTCGCCTAGCTTAGAAGGGCAGGCTCCCCAATGGCAGGGAGTTTAGGGTTAGAATGAGAGCAACTAGGCATCTTCTTAGTCTCAGATAATGTATTAGTTTTGTCATAACACACACACGGGGGGGGGGGGGAGAACCTAGAAAAACTGTAAAATGAGATTTGATATACAAGGAGTCAAAAAGGATTGCTTGTGTGTTTCTCAAATGCATTTAACAGAATTTCAGATAAATTTTCTTGTGAATATTATTCTTAAGAAATAGATGGGTAGCATATTACCTGTTGTCTAAAAATGGGAGAATTTGGAAGGCCTTTGTCATAATGTCAACAACCATCAAAAGGGTCTAGTGAGGTTTTGCAAGGAAAAGTCACCTAAAAAGTAGCATATGTCTTACTTGAGACAAATCTGTAAACCATTCTTAGAAGTCAGTACAGATACAGGTTTTTATCTGGTATATGTATCCAGAAATACTCAAGAAAGCATGCCTTTGTGTCCCTGATACCTTTAGAACTTGGCATCAGAGTTTACCCAATTCCATCAGCATACTCAAGGTATTCCTCTCCTGTCAACTGCCTACCTCTGTGGATGGAAAGAAGAAATCATCACAAAATAAATTCTCAAAATGAACATTTATTTGTCAGGTAAGAGGTTAGTAGTGAAAAATAAGTAATGATTTCCCTCTTTCACCAACATTTTGGTCAATCATTCCAGGTTGCATGCATTGGCCTGGGGTTACATATATTGACAGAGGGTCTGATGCTGCTGAGGCTGTCAGGAAGGTGACAGATGGAGATAGAGGAGGCACAGGGCTAGAGCTCACTTGTCATTCAAACATGTGGAGAACAAACCATTCATTGCAGTAACATATCCTATGGCCTGGGTTCATTTACTAGTATTTTGCCATTCTTCTACTGTCAAGAATAAGACCTGTTCTTTATACTTCTCTCTGCTAAAGTTTGCTTAAGTGTAGGTTATTGCTAGCTATACATTAGCTCACTTACCCCAAAAACCATTTCATTAGAATCAAAAGTTGATCACATGTGTACTTAATTAGCTTCTCTTGATTACCAAATTTCAGTAACACTAAATACTAAATAAAATAAAAATAAATTCTTCAAAATAAAAATGAGGTCAACATCTAAGGCTAACCTGCACTCAACTGAATTTACACATTACGTTTTCCAAGGCAAGATGATTAAAATACAATTCATAAAATAACATATTTTGTTTTATAAAGTACAGATTACTAATAAATGTGTGCTATATTATTAAAGCAATCATCAACATCATTCTTATCACCTATATATAGAAGAACTACATAGCTCAGAGGTAGTTGGGTGGAAAATGTGAATAGTTCTACCATTACCTTTCTTATAACTCCACCGAGCCAAACTGACATGTATATCATCATTTCATTGCAGCTTGTTTTACCTTAAAACTATATAGACTAAACAAAAGTATACTGTGTATAATGTCTTATCTGTATAATGTTATAATTACCACTGTCACAGTGAAAATGTTACAGTAAATTTCCCCCACTGTCTTATTTGGAGTTTACAGCTATTGTTTCTACACTTAAATTGCAGCATTATAAATACATCTACACATCCACAGTACCCTTTAAACTTGCCATGTATCATAAACTGCTTTCTTTATCTTCTCACTTCATATAATACCAGTGTCTTGTGCTAAGAACTCTGGTAATCAGATTGCAATGAAGTGTGTACACAAATACATTTCATTCTCTACAGGACATGTTACCTTGTAGTACCAACATAAATGTGATACTGAAGTAAAGGTTAATTTATTTTTAGATAGACCATAACAAGACCATAACATGATAGACATACTGATTTCTGCCACTGTGAACATACTGCCAGTGTATATGCTGCTCTAGAATTTAGAAAAATTAGCAAGTTTGTAGAAACAGCAAAAATAATTTTAACTTGGGAATTCACATGAAGATTAATGTTTCCCACTGTAAACATAAGGTCATCCCTATTTTCGTATGACCATCTTATTCCTTAAGTATCGACAAATGCTTTAATAACAAAGACAAACTTATCTTTTCGTTTAAGAAAAATGAGAAGTGAGACATGGTGGTGCAAGTCTTCAATTCTAGAATGTGTAAGGCAGGTGGATCTCTATGAGATCAAAGCCAGCCTGGTCTACGTAGCAAGTTCCAGGCCATTAAGTTTCTATATCAAAAGGAAAATAACACTTAAGAATTCAAGCTGTGGGAGCTGGAAAGATGGCTCAGCAATTAAGAGCACTTTTCTGGCAGAGGACCTAGGTTTAGTTCCCAGGACCCATATAGTCACTCACAATGACCTGTAACTCTAGTTCCAGGGAATTCAACACCGTCTTCTGACCTATGTGGACTGTGGACACCAGACACAGACATGCATGCAGACAAAATACTCATACACATAAATAAATCTGAAAAACAAAAGGAAAGCTTTTTTAAATAATTTAAGCTGTGAGATGATGTTTTTTCTCTTTAGGATTTCTTAATCTCTTATCAACATTTTGCCCATCTTCTGCCTGTTCGGGCTTACAAGTTACCTAGATATTATGAACCTTCCCTGTGAATTATAATTACATACCTTTTGCCTGTAAAATTAACTATTTGATTTCCTTTAAAATGTTTGAGACTATTAGTTTTTATTACCAATGCTGTAAACAGACAACAAAAAAAGATAGGTTTGTGTTTTATAGCCTGACTGTGTGCAAATTGTCACAAAATGCAGTATGTTCAAGGAACTATTCGCGTATGTTTAGCAGTACTTAAAAGACCCCAGCAGAAGAACAGTGACCTTCCAAGGCTCCTTATTAAGTTATTCACTTAGTAAAGACTTTGGAGAATCTGTGAAGGGAGAGGATCATCTCTTGCAGCTGGCTTTTAAGATGTTGAAGGTCCCTCACTGCTGTCTGCTGAAGCTTACTATTTCCCAGGATCAGAATAAATGAATGACTTAAAGGAAAGGTAATTAATGTTAACAGAACAAACTTAATTGACCTGTTTGATGGAAAATAAAAAAAAAAAAAAAATAACCAACGTGCCACCTGCATGAAAAAAAACTGTGAATTATGAAGAGAATGAGGAAAGACAACAGCATTTTCACAGCCTTCTTGTGGACCTTAGTTCTGGAATCGTCAGAGCTGATAGAAATGAGGTTGAGGCTTCTGGAGTGCTTCACCAAGGACAAAAATAAAAGGAACAATGATGCTAGGGACACAAGAAATGGGAACAAGTACATCAGGTCAAAAACAATTAGCTTTTGAACAACAATAGTCTTACTTGTATCTGAAAATAAAGTCAGATTGTTTTTAGAGATCATGATCATATTCCTCAAAATAGGAAGTGTTTCAAGCAGTAGAAAATACAAAATCAGTGAGCACATAGAAAATACAAGAAAAATAATAACCACTCTTCTCATTCTCCACTTTAACTAGAGGAAAAGGGGATGGGAGAAGTGGGCAGTTGAGGAAGCAGAAAATGCCTTGTAACTGATAATTCGCTTCCTGCTATCTGAGGAGTTTCCTTTGCCTTCTGTGCTCTCCATTTAGACAGTCCTGGGATTAATGGCTTTGATGGAGAAAAGAATTTCAGAACTACAGTTGGTAGTTTACTAAATTACAAAAGCACTGAGGGAAAGAATAAGACATACTCAAGTTTCATAGGGGCTTCTTATGGGAAATCACAATTAGTTGTCTTAGCATTAGCATTTATGCCATTTTCATTGCCCTTGAGCTACATCTCAAAGAGGTGTTAAGAAGTCTCTTGGTTTTTTGGTTTTTTGTGTTTTTTTTTCTACCTTAGCTCTGATAAGTGAGAGTATGAGGTGTCTCGAAAGATGCCCTGGGTGGGCTTAGAATGTGATATGATAAAACCAGGAGCCACTGACATTGTACAATGACATTCTGGTTAGATTTCTAGAAAACTGAAGGTTTGCATCTGAGAACGGAGAAAGCTCCAAATCAAACACTGTTCGTTGTGTTGAAATTTTTGGTTCTTAGCTGTCTTTGAGAAGCTTCAACCACTCTGTGATAAGTGACTCATTTTCCTTCAGATGTCTCCAGAATTGCCCCAGTCTTTCTAATATGCCTCAATGTCAGTGAAGATCACTTTTACAAACCAGATCATGGAACAACATGTCCTTAATTTAACCAGAGCAGTTTATTTTCTAGTAGCCAAATGCTATGTTTAAACAGTCAGTCATGTCCCAATAGAGAAACTGAACATTATGCAACACATTAACTTATTAAAGAAGTAACACCAAGAAAATAAAGATTCATGAAAGAATCTATGTTGATCAAGTCTACAGTGTTTTTTATAATATTCTTAACAAGCAGAGAATAGAAATACGTTTTCTCTGATAAAAAGTTGTCTACAAAAGCCAGGAATAACTATGATGCCTACCTATGATACACTGAATTTTTTTCCCTTGAGTTTGTGGCAAAGTCTGTGATAAACTGTCTTACCTTATATATTGTTTTCAATGTTTCACTAGTTGCAATAAAGAAAGAAGAAGATGTAGAAGATTTAAAAAAACATGGTAAAGTTGGAAGGATGGAAAGGGAAGGGAGAAATGATAAAATCACAATCTCAAAATATAATTTTAAAATGAACCTATGAAGAGGCAAAACCAGTGCCCCTATACCCCACCCATTGCAGCCCCAGGTACAGGGCAGCAGGCAGGACTCCTGCAGGGAGACATGACCACCACCCCCACTGGGCCCTGTAACCTACAATCCCCAATCCACACCCAAAACCCACCCATCGTCCAAGACTGAAGTTGCTCCCTGAGATGCAGACTCTGCCAGCTCCAATTGGACCAAGAGGCTGCAGGTGCTCCCTGCAACACAGAGCCTTCCAGCATCGAACACAGAGTTCTGATTGGACCAAGAGTGGCTCCCTGAGGCACAGATACCATTTGCACCAATTGGAGGAAGAAATGGGTACTTGCCAGTACAAGAATACATTCAACAACATAAAAAGCAATATGGCACCACCAGAATTTGGTGGTTTTACATCAGCACCACCTGAACACCCCAACATAGAAGAAGCAGAAGAAAACAACCTTTAAAATGACTTTAAGAAGCTGATAGAGGCCTTTAAAGAGAAAATGAAAAATTCCCATAAAGAAATTGAGGAAAAGACAAACAAAAAATTGGAAAAATCAATAAATCTCTGTTTTAAGAAAAAGCAATTAAACAGGTGAAGAAAACAGTTCAAGACCTGAAAATTGAAATAGAAACAATGAAGAAGACACAAACAGAGGGAATGCCGGAAATAGAAAATCTGAGTAAACAAACAGGAACTACAGATGCAAGCATAACCAACAGAATACAAGAGATGGAAGAAAGAATCTATGGTATAGACTATACAATAGAGGAAATAGATTCATAAGTCAAAGAAAACATTAAAGCCAAAATAGTCATAACACAAAACATCCAGGAAATCTGGGACACCATAAAAAAGTTGAACCTAAGAATAGTAGGGATAGAAGAAGGAGAATACCAACTCAAAGGCACAGAAAATATATTCAACAAAATCATAAAAGAAAACTTTCCCAGCCTAAAGAAGGAAATCCCTATGAAGATACAAGAAGGTTACAGAACACCAAATAGACTGGACAAAAAAATGAAGGCCCCATGCCACATAATAATCAAACCACTAAACATACAGAATAAAGAGAAGTATTAAGAGCAGCAAAGGAAAAAGACAAAGCAACATTTAAAGGCAGAATAACACCTAATTTCAATGGAGACTCTGAAAGCCAGAAGGTCCTGAACAGACATTATTCAGACACTAAGAGACCATGGATGCCAGCCCAGACTATTATACACAGTAAAATTCCCAATCACCATAGGCGGAGTAGAAAAAAATATCCCATGATAAAACCAGATTTAAACAATGCCAATCCACAAACCCAGCCCCACAGAAAGCACTAGAAGGAAAAAAATCCAACCCAAGGAAGTTAGATGCACCCATGAAAACACAAGCAATAGATAATCCAATACCAACATATCCCAAAGAAGGGAAACAACACTACCACCAAAAAAATAACAGGAATTAACAATCACTGGTCATTAATATCCCTTAATATCAAAGGACTAAAAAGACATAGGCTAACAGAATAGATGAAAAAACAGAATCCGCCTTTCTGCTGAATACAAGAAACACACCTCAACTTCAAAGACAAATATTACCTCAGAGTAAAGAGCTGGGAAAAATCTTTCTATTCAAATGGACTTAAGAAGCAAGCTGGACAAAAAAAAAAAAAAAAAAAAAAAAACCACAACTTGCAGGCCGAGCGGCAGGGGCACACGCCTTTAATCTCAGCACTCGGGAGGCAGAGCCAGGTGGATCTCCGTGAGTTCGAGGCCAGCCTGGACTACCAAGTGAGTTCCAGGAAAGGTGCAAAGCCACACAGAGAGACCCTGTCTCGAAAAACCAAAAAAAAAAAAAAAAAACCAAGCTGGAGTAGCCATCCTAATACCTAACAAAATAGACTTCAAACAAAAGTAATCAAAAGAGATCAAGAAGGACATTACATATTCATTACAGGAAAAATCCAACAAGATGAAGTCTGAACATTTATTCTGAGCATTTATGTTCCAAATTCAAGGGCACCCACATTTGTAAAAGAAACATTACTAAAGCTTAAATCATGCATCAAACCCCACACACTAATAGTGGGAGACTTAACTCCGCACTCTCACCAATGGCCAGGTCTGCCAAAGAGAAACATAACAGAGAAATAAGGGAATGGACAGACATTATGACTCAAATGGACTTAATAAGAACATTCCACTCAAACACAACAGAATATACCTTCTTCTCAGCACCCCATGGAACCTTCTCTAAAATTGACTACATACTCAGTCACAAAACAAATCTCAACAGATTTTAAAAAATGGAATAACCTCCTGTATTTTTTCAGACCACCATGCCTTAAAGTTAGAATTCAACAACAACACAAATTACAAAAAGCCTATAAACTCATGGAAACTGAGCAATGCTCAACTGAATCACCACTGAGACAAGGAAGAAATAAAGAAATTAAAACTTCCTAGAATTCAATAAAAATGAATGTACAATATACCCAAGCTTAGGGACACAATGAAAGCAGTACTAAGAGGAAATTCATAGCACTAAATGCCTACATAGAGAAGTTAGAGAAATTTCACACTGAAGACTTAACAGCACACCTGAAAGCTCTAGAACAAGAAGAAGCAAAGTCACCCAGGAGGAATAGACACCAGGAAATAATCAAATTCATGGCTGAAATCAATAAAATAGAAACAAAGAGAACAATATAAAGAATCAATGAAACAAAGTTTGGTTCCTTGAGAAAATCAACAAGATAGACAAGCCCTTATCCAATCTAACCAAAAGGCAGAGAATGAATATCCAAATTGACAAAATCAGAAATGAAAAGAGACATAACAACTGACAATGAGGAAAACCAGAGAATCATCAGGTCATACCTCAAAAACCTTTACTCCACAAAATTGGAAAATCTAAAAGAAATGGATTATTTTCTGGATAGGTACTATATACACAAATTAAATCAAGATCAAATAAACAATTTAAATAGACCTATAACTGCTACTGAAACAGAAGCAGTCATTGAAAGTCTCCCAAACAAAAAAATCCAAAGACAGATGGTTTTGGTGCAGAATTCTACCAGAATTTCAGAGAAGTGTTAATACTAATATTCCTCAAAATGTTCCATACAATAGAAACAGAAGGAACATTGCCAAACTCTTTCTATGAGGCTATAGTTATCCTTATACACAAACCATACAAAGATGCAACAAAGACAGAGAATTACAGAACAATCTCCCTCACAAACATTGATGCAAAAATAATAAAATACTGGCAAACCAAATCCAAGAACACATCAAAAAAAATCCATCATGATCAAATAGGTTTCATCCCAGAGATGCATGGATGGTTCATCATATGAAAAATCTGTCAATGTAATCTATCATATAAACAAACTGAACAAAACCACATGATCATCTCATTAGATGGGGAAAAAGCCTTTGACAAAATCCAACACCCCTTCATGATAAAGGTCCTGGAGACATCAGGAATGCAAAGAGCATACCTAAACATAATAAAGGCAATTTAGAGCAAGTTGACAGCCAACATTAAATTAAATGGAGAGAAACTCAAAGCAATTGCACTAAAATCAGGAACAAGACAGGCTGTCCACTTTCCCCATGTCTATTCAAAATAGTACTCGAAGTTCTAGCTAGAACAAGAAGAGAACCAAAGGAGATCAAGGGGATACAAACTGGAAAGGAAGAAGCCAAACTTTCACTATTTACAAATGATATGGTAGTCTACATAAGTGACCCCAAAAATTCTACCAAGTAGATTGATTCCCAATTTTCTGAGAAACTGCCATACTGATTTCCAGAGTGGCTGTACAAGTTTGCATTCCCACCAACAGTGTAGGAGTGTTCCCCTTTCTCCACATCCTCTCCAACACAAACTGTCTTCAGTGTTTTTGTTCATAGCCATTCTGACAAGTATGATATGGTATCT